CAACAAGAAGGGTGACACTCCTCTGCACGTTGCTTCAGTAGGCTGTCATGAAATGGTAAAGTTGCTCATTCAAGTGGCGAATCAACCGCTATCAGTTGAAGGAGCTGATGAGGAAAGTGGACTAGCTGATGGTGAAACTCATAATTTTAAACGACTACTTGAAAAGACTAATTCGCAAAAGGATACAGCCATGCATGTTGCTTTCCGATGCGGTCATCGTAAAGTGGTGCTTCTGTTAATGAAAGCCGGTCCCGAATTCTGTTAATGGAAATCTCTTTACTAAAAGAATTAGTTCTGTCATTGATTTTGTGTGGTGGAGACTTTGCTTTTCTAGTATACCAGGGAATTGTTTGATTGTGACAGAACGAGTAAATAAAATGGAAAAAACCTTGTGCATTGTCCACCTATATATTCAACCATCTTCGCCACTCTCAGTTCGATATTAATAAGCATATATATACGCAGAGCATAGAATATCTTTAAGACGAAGAGCATAGAATCTGAAATGGAAGTCTTTTTCGGGTACTCGAGTAAGGATCGATCTCTGTATAAATGCTTTTTGTTGACAAGACGACGACTCGGATTCTGATCATGGTTGGTAAGAGAGAATAAATGAAAGAGAGAACCGCCGTAAGCAATTCACAACTTGTATTGCAATAATTAATAGGTGCTGTGCCCACTACTTTGAGAGAGAGAGAGAGAGAGAGAGAGAGAGAGAGAGAGAGAAAGAGAGAGAGAGAGAGAGATCAAAGCTAGCTAGCCATAGCCATGGATCCTTCTCTGTATGAGGCGGCAACATCAGGTGATGTTGGTTTCTTAAGGGAGAAAATTAGAGATGGCGGTGCATCAATTGGTCTTCTCCAACAGAAAACGCCTAAAGACAACAATATTCTTCATATTTCAGCTGAATTCAAGCAAATAGATTTCTTCGAAAATGTCGATGCAGATCAATTTGATCAGCTGTTTTGGGCCACCAACAAGAAAGATGACACTCCTCTGCACGTTGCTTCAAGAGTAGGCTGTCATGAAATAGTAAAGTTGCTCATTCAACATGCGAAGAAAAAGCATCATCACATGGAAAGAGGTGAATCTCATAACAAGTTACTCCGAGTGACTAACTCGGATAACGACACAGCGTTGCATCTTGCTGTTCGATATAATCACGAGGAAGTTGTGATTCTGTTAATGGAAGCTGATCCTCAATTGTGTTGTAGTACAAATAAAGCAGAGGAGTCGCCCTTGTTCCTTGCTGTTAGAAAAAGATCTCCAAGCATTGCTCATTGTATTCTACAGGCTTACGATTCCAACATTTCTCCTTCTTTCCAGGGGACTAAAGGACTGACAGCTTTGCATGTGGCAGTGACTCAAGAAAAACTCATAGACAAAGGTACGCAGACATGACATCACCAAATTGTAAGAGCTTTCGAGCTCGATTCATTAGTATATGGGTATGCTGTGTGGTGTCATATTATATTAATAGGAAAAATAAAGGTGGAATTACTACGTAGGTATTTAAATGAACACACACGTGTGTATATGTATATACACACAGAAAGCTTTTATTGAGGGATCCTTCAAATTAGCTTATTTGAGGGACACCCTTGTAGAGCCCATTCCGTATTGTATTTCACTAATTCATATCGTCTATTTTGTAGATACTCATTCAAAGATCATCTCTACAAAAAAAAAAATTACTTGAATCCAATATCATTTATTCACTCAATTGAATTATTGAAATTTTAGTACTTTCCTGAAGCATCATGTTCATTGATTTTGTAAGACACAATTGGATATCGAAACGGTTTCCGATTTTTATAATTTTTTGCAAGGATAATCTATGAATGTAGACTTAAAACATAGATGGTTTGGATCGTTGAAAAAAAAATCGTAAGGGACCCTAAACGGTGTCCCTCAAATAATTTTTATTTGATGAATCTCTTAATAGAAGGGCCTAAACAGCTCTTCATGCTGCAGTTTTATATGGGACTAACACTACGAAATCTGTTACTTTTATATAACAAGGATTGTTTTTGTTGACTATAACTCCATTTGGGTCCAATAATTTTCATACATGAAACATGGTAGGCGTTGTCAAGATGATGATGTCCAAAAATCATGACATAATCAGAGAAGTTGATGCTATTGGATGGACCCCCTTGCACTACGCAGCATTTACAGGGCACGTTGAAGCTACTCAACTACTGTTGAAATGTGATAGCTCAACTTGTTACATGCTGGACGAATCTAAAATGTCAGCTCTCCATGTCGCAGCCTATGCAGGCCACACCAAAGTGATGGCGGAGCTAATTCGATGTCGACCCGATACTTGTGATTTGCTTAACTCAAAAGGCCAAACGGCTCTTCATGCTGCAGTTTTAGGTGGACAAAGAGGTGTGGTTAAGTACATATTAAGGACGCCTAAGCTTGCAGGACTTATTAATGAAGCTGACAAAGACGGAAACACTCCTCTGCATATGGCGGTAATTTACAAAAAGATCGAAATTATTGACATTTTGACGTCTGACCCTAGAGTGGACAGGACTGCTATCAATAAAAAACTCTCAAAAGCCATTGATATTTTTCTTGGTCAATGTATTGAAGAACAGGTACGCAAAACAGATGCGCACACACATAAAAAAGGGAATCATTCATTTTGACATGTTCTATGGTGTACTCACTCTCTCTCTCTCTCTCTAGGAAATTATCAACAGATGTCCAGTGTTGCAACAGTTGGGGTCCTCCGTGGGTGGTACATTTTTCCAACAAAAAATCAGGAAAGATTTCAACGAAGTAAAACCTTCAAAGAAGGATACGCCCTGCACACGAGCCTCCATTGGACATAAGAGGCAAGAGGAGGCGCAAGCTAGTTCAAATCAGGCCTTGAAAAGACTTGATACGAAGCTAGTGGTAACGACACTTATTGCAACCGTCACTTTTGCAGCCGCTTTAACACCTCCGGGAGGATTTAAAACTGACGGGACTCCGGTTTTATTTGAAAATTATTATTACAAAGTATTTCAGCTTTTCAACCAGGTATCCTTCGTTCTGGCAATTCTTGCGATCTATAACGAATCAAATCCAATACGTTTTCTGTCAATCGAAGTAGCCACACCTGCAAGACTCATTCAGTATTCCATTGGAGGGTTGCTGGTAGCGTTTGTTTCGGTCGCAGCTGCAGTGACGCCCAAATGCCACAGCAGAGGTCCACTTCAAATTATTCCCATTGGACCAAGTCCAGTTGATATTTTTGTCAATATCTTCCAACTTTTTGTTATAGCATTTGCTCTCATCCCCGTTGTTACGTTTGTATATCAAAAGCTCAGGGAGAGACAAGTCAGCAACCGAGTAATTTAGAAGCGCTTATCATAAGTGTTTGTTATTATTGGTTTATTAGTTATAAGTGTCTGTTATTGGTTTCCTCAACATAAGTTTTGTCAACTTTTTATGGTGTTTTTTGTTTTTGTTTCATACTTTTTTAGAGCATCCACAATATCCCACCAAAATCATATATTATTAAGCGAACTCATCTACTAATAAGCCCAAACAACCTTGGAATATCCAAATCGGAAAAATAAATCATCAGCAATTATGAACAACAGAAAAAAGGCTATAAAGCAATTATGTCCTCTTTCATCGATGCTAAATTAATAATGACTAAAATGTGACGGGCAATAGGCTATAAATGTTGTCATATTTAAGGATCGCCATCTAAGTGAACAAGGTTACACAATTTCTCTATGTTTTGGCGGCTGTTTGATACTTCTACTTTAAATTTGTGGAATCGCCTGGGGTACTCTGTCAGTGTGCCACTTTTCCAACAACAAATCAGGCGTGATTTTGAGAAACCAGAAGCTCCGGTGAACAATACATCGGCCAAAATCACAAAAACAAGAGAGACGCCTCAATTCTATTCAGATTGTGAGATGGAATGACGCGATACGACACTGCTGGTAGCAACATTTATCTCAACTGTAACGTTCGCGGCAGGTTTCACCATTCCTGGAGGACTTAAAAGTGACGGGAAAACGGTTTTAGACGGAAGTGCATATTTTAAAGTGTTTATGTGTTCCAACATTGTCTCCTTCTTTCTATCAGCCTTTGTGATTTACAATGAATTACTAGAGGAAAGTTTCTTAGCAATCCAAAGGGTTGCACTTGTCCTTCGGTGTTCTATTGGAGGACTTGTCTTTACATTTTTTTCAGGCTTCATGGCAGTGCAGGATAATAAAGGCAAGGGTTGTCCTACTGAGAGTATGCTCTGGTTGTTATTTTCTATGTTGTTTTATGCTTTTATGTTTTCGTCATGGAACTATAATCCACATTTAGCAAGAATGAAGAGGGAAGGAAAGATCTGCCTGCAAGACCGTAAAATTTGACGGCGCTTATGTAAACCCGAAAAGAGAAAAGCCTTTCTAAAACACAATCTAATATGTAGAGCAGCAGTGAAAAAGCCGAGAGCTTTTGTCTCTCCTCTGTTTTCCTCCTCCATTTTCATGTTGCTATTTTTGCTTGTGTTTGTGAGTGTGAGCAGCTGGTGTTGAGAGTGCAAAGCTTAGTCTGTGTATGGAAATTTCAGTTGTACCACGTTTTGCAAGATAAATTTAGAAGAGATTACTTTCACCTCCAAATTCACAGTTGAACTAGTCACTGCTAAGTTGATGCAGTTTGGTCTTTTTTTATAAGTCTATGTTGTTGTCAACAATTTTCACTATGAATTTAAAAAAGAAAAAGAAAAAAGAAGGAAGCTTTCCTCAAGCCAACATATAAGTCATCAACAATTTTCACTATGAATAATAGTTTTCACTAGCAAAGGCACCCGCGCCACGCCATGCTGCGGGGTTTGAAACCAAATTGCATTCTAAAAGATGTTTGAGAAAAATCATATTTTAAAAGAAGAGTTGATAAATTTTCTTTAAAATTGAATCATAATTGAAGACAATTATGAGAAAGGAAACTTTGCCCAAATTCAATGCAATCAACTACCACTTAATATAGAGAAATTGAGTGGGGAAATAAGTTGTGAACAATGAAATATTATGTATATAATGTGTACATTAATGAGATGAATGAATTGAAAAGGAAAGAGCATAAACTCTGATGTGGAAGTAGGAGAGGCAATTTTGGAACTGCCTTGGGCTTTTTTCTTCTTCAAACCGATAATTAGTAAATTGTCAGAATCTCACACATTTTCTTCTCTGGTTTTATGTTTATCATCGGCAAGACAAACACTTTCATAAGAGATTTCTATACCATTTGAAATGGCAAAACTATGAGCTTCTTGCATCATCTGATTTCGTTTGCTATCTCTAGTCCTTTTACGCATTATGCACAGAAATTTAAAACCCCAAGCAACAGATTGATAACTGGAAAGGAGAAAAAACATGCATTTATACAATTTTAAATTATAAGCAAATGCACCATGATATTGACAGAACCACGGAAATGAGAATTTTCAAATGTCATAATATTTGGCAATCAATAAGCTACAGCCACCATGCATGCAATCTTTTGAAAAATGGATAAAACACTAACCTGTAGTCAAAGAAGCTATCAAGCACTTCGAAAAACAGCCACACAAAAGCAGGATCACAACAGCTATCTAAAATACAAAGACAGAAAAACAAAATTAGGCTAATAAGTATAATTCTGGTTTTGCTTGTGAGATAAGACAGTCTCAATTAATGAATCTGTTTCAATACTGATTTTCGTATTGAAGAATATCAAGAACCAACAGAAACTATTTGTTACATTTCCTTTTCTTACACAAACAAATGAAAACATGAAAATATTACGATACGAATTGAAGACTGGTTTCTTTTCAAATTCCTTGAGAGGAAAATCACATGTTAATTGGTTGAAAAGTAACCAACACCATAAAGAGAAAACTAAATAAACACATCACAACTCATTTCAAAATCCATATGCATGCAAGACAGTGTAGACCAATACCAAATGTTCCGTAAAAAACAAATTCGATAAAGCCAAACATCGACCAAACCCTATATAATTAGTTAAGCCAATGTGGTCAATTTTCGGACAGCTGTTATTATGCATGGTAAACCTCTAGTGTGCGATCGAACATACCATGAACGATGTACTTTTTTTAATTTTAGAAAGTCAACCATTTATAGTTGTTTGTTTATGAAATTCCACATATATATGTTCCGGAGAGAGAGAGAGAGTTTAAAGCCATGGATCCTTCCGTCTATGCGGCAGCAAAATCGGGTGATGTTGATTTCTTGAGAAGAATTAGAGACGGTGAGTTATCAATTGATCTCGAGTGTTAGAAAACACCTATTGCAGAGTGCAAAAGAAGGGGTCAAACTGTAATCAATATATATATTTTTTAATACGACTCTTCTCAACTCCTCACTAATTTTTGTATATCAACATGCTAGATATTGTGAACACAATGTTATCCAAAAATCCCAAGATTATCAAAGAAGTGGACGCACTTGGGTGGACGCCCTTACACTACGCAGCGTTTTGGGGAAACTTTGAAGCAACTTGATTGTTGATGCAACGTGATAGCTCTGCTGCTTACCTCTTGGACAAATCTGGATTTTTGTCAGCTCTCCACGTCGCTGCCTATGTAGGACGTGCCATAGTTTTGGAAGTGATGATTCGATATCGGCCCGATGCATGTGATTTGCTGAATGCCAAAGGCCAAACGATTCTGCATGCTGCCGTTTTAGGCGGACAAATAATTGTTGTTGAGTTCATATTGCAGACGAATAAGCTTAATGGGCTTATAAACGAAGCAGATAAAGATGGCAACACTCCTTTGCATGTCGCTGCAGCTTACCCTCATTTGGAAATTGTTGAACTCTTGGCATCCGATCATAGAGTTGATAAGACTGCCATCAATAAAAATTTCTCGAAGGCTGCCGATATTTTTCTTGGCGATAATTTTGGACAGGTATGGACGCTACAAATATATGGTCTTCCTAGCATATTATTGCATTATATTTTTGTTGACTAAGACCATAATTCTCCATATATATGTTTCTTTAGGATGCCTTCAATAGTCCGCTTTTGTTCAACCTGTGACGCTCTAGTGGTGTCCCATTTTTCCAGCAACACATCGGACCGATTCTTGACAAAAGAAACTGGATTGATTCTAACCAATTCCAATTCCGATTTGACATCTCTAAAAACCGGACCGGGCCAAATCAAACCAAAATCAAATAAATAATAAATAATGTGAATATATTTTGGTGGCCCAACAACTAAAGCCCATCAACCAACACCCGACCCTAGAGGCTAAAGCCACTTCTTCTTTCTTTTCTCTCTCCCTTATCTTTACTTTTTCTTCCTTTGTGTCTCTTTCTATTTTTTTTTTATCTTTTATCTTTTTCTTTCTTTTTTCTCTTTCTTCTTCCTCCTTTTCTCTTTCTCTTTCTCTTTCTCTCTTTCTCTCTTTCTCTTTCTCTTTCTCTTTCTCTCTTTCTCTTTCTTCTTCCTCTTTATGATTCCGATTTTCTCTTTTGAACCTTCACCCTTTTCCTCAGGACATGTGTCCCTTTCCTTACATTTAAAACAATGTAATTAATGCAGAAAACAAACTATCATTTGTTTTCCAAATTTACTTTTATTTAATATATTGATTTTAATTTTTTTTTAATTTATCCATTTTTTTTACAAACTTTTTACCTCCTTGTTAAAAATTAATTAAGAAAAAAAAACGTTTTTTTTTAAGACTCTAAAGGCAACAAGGCATTCAAATAAGACTAAAAATTAAATAAGAAAAGGCATTAGTTTTATTTTTGGTTTTCTGAAAGACTCCAAAGGGAGTAAGGAGATAAATTGGTTTAAATCGAAAATTTGGTATGCCAGAATTTTAGGATTTTTTTTCTTCAAATAATCAAACTCCAAAGGCAGCAAGAGATATAAAAAATATATAAATAAAAAAAACTTTGAACTTCCTTTGAAATCTGATTATTTGGGGTTTTTTAAAAATATTTTTAGTTGTTACTGAAAATGCTCTTTAACTTTATTTAGTGGTATAAAAAAAATGCAATTAAAGAACTTCCTTTTGAAGGAAGTCTTTTTTCTGTATAAAATTGTGATCTTTCTATTGAGTGTGTTTTTTTAGGTCATTCTTTTGTGTTCAAAAAAATTGAAGTTTTATCTCTGAAAAAAATATACTTTTTTTTTAAACTGACATTTTTTATTATTTAATTTTTTACATATGGTAAGAGAGTTGTAAAATTATTTTTGAATAAATTGAAGCACAAAACATTTAAGAAGGATAAACTTGAAAAACAAATGTTAGTTTGTTTGATGCATTAGTTACATTGTTTTAAGTGTAAGGAAAGTGACACATGTCATGAGGAAAAAAGATAAGATTCAAAAGATAATGTTGGAGAGAAGGTTGCTAGCATTTTCCAAACACATAACAACAAGTGATTAAAGTTGAGGACTACATCCCTATGAGTCTCGATAAACTTTGCAGGGTTCAAATACACAGATATAGCTCATTCAATTTGCGAAGACCCATGATGAGCTTAAAATGAAACTTGTTCCATTTGTGCTCCATTGATTGTAAATTAGTTTTGAGTTTTTCTTAAATACTATAAAACAAAATGTTACATCGTTCAACTTGAATATACACTCAATTTCTCACGAGATTTTCTATTTAAACCCCACACTTCTCTTAGTTCACCCCCAATGTCCTAAGTTCACCCCAACTTTTAATTTAAATTTTCACAATTTCTAAGAAAACCCCACTATCTTCCCAAACTACCCTTAAACACACCTCAAACTGAAAAAATAAGAATAAAAGAGAATTTATATTTAAACCCACAATTTTCTTTGTTCCCAGCAAAAAAAAAACACAAACAAATGAAATCCCAAATCCAAAATTTAACATTTTCTAGAGAAAGAGAATAGCTTTACATATCTCCAAGAACTGTAACTGGAATTCTAACACTTGAGTATTGTTGAGAGAGAGAGAGAGAGAGAGAGAGAGAGAGAGAGAGAGAGAGAGAGTTTGTAAACAAGAAGTTGGAAGGAGGTTTCCAAAACTTAATATGAAGAGTGGTGGGGTGTATAGATGTACTAGGGTTAATTAATAAGTTGAATGACCTTTTTTGTCTTTTTACACAATAATAAAAACTTAAGTAAATTTAGGTTTTAGTAAAAAAAAAAAATTTCACTTTTAGAAAAAGCCAAAGCTTTTTCAAAAAAGACAGAAAAACCTCTCAACTTTCAAATCAAAGACATGTAAATGTAAAGGATTCCTTAGGAAATCCAAAAATAAATAAGGGCAATTTTGTCCATTTTGGCTTCTTTTACAAAATTTCTCTCTCCTTTGTGTTTTTCCAAAGTCTCCCTAAAACTTACAGCTTAATAATTTAAGTATTGGGGTGAACAAAAAGAAGTGCGAGATTTAAATAGAAAATCTCTCTCATGACTCCTTCAACGTTTTTTTAGCAGCACATGGTGGCTGCCCGCTTGGGCCAATGTGCTGAATCACATGGTGATGCACTTGCTCTCATGAGGGTCTTTGTTTATTGAAATGAATATATTGACGTATCTTTATCCCTAATTAGACAAAGTATATGTTTAAATAAATATATTGAGTGTTTCTGAGTGTTTTAAACTATTGTCAGGTATGTATTTGTAGGTAATTGATTAATAATAAAAATAAACCAGTACTGTATTTTTTTTTGGGAGAAATATCGGATACTTTTGTTTAAGGTAGTTGACTCTTGTGTGAGTTTCAACATAATTATAATTAAATACCATTTCATTACTGTACCAGACTGTCTAAGTAAAAAAGTATATTTACCCATTATTACCAATGGAGTCTAACACAGTGGAAAATTGACAGGACTCGCCCCAGAATTTCCCCTGAAACCGGGGCGGACCCCGTCTTGGAGCCGACATCACACTGATGCCGGGCCCACAATTAAAAATCCAAGACATCCTACCAAAATTTTGGCAGAGTCTCCCTTGTAAAATGCTCAAACCCAACAATATTCAACCTGCATAATTTACATAATAAATATATTCCAACTGCCAGCATGCTCTTAACATACAACAATCCAACATAAAATGGCCTCCGGCCTCAAGTAGCAACCTAACATGGGCGATAACAGAGCATCTACAGAATTTGTTTACAACAAACAGTGGAATAGAAAGAATTTACACAGACCCTAACAACTGACGAAAAGTTTGGAGCTCGCAACCTGCTCGAACGCTTCCAAAAGCAACTACTGCCTGGGGGGCGCAAAACAGAAATATGTGAGTGGACAAAAATAAAGTTTGGACTTTAAATCAACATAACAACCCCACCATGTAAACATAATGCTCTAGCATGCAGTTTCACAATTCAGAAACCAAAACTCAAAACACAATATTCCAAAGTCCAACACATCTCCACATCTCAAATCCACAACTCATTTCCCCAACGATATGCAACTCTCATCAACCCGTAAACACTCATACATATATATATATAACTATAAGTATAATATAATATATACTTCTCTCCATACTAATGTATCGGGGAAACAATCCAACCGGGGGATTGTTAACTGGTACGCAGGATTTCCGAACACTAACCCGCGTCCAGGGATGAGTAGTCCAACCGGGGGACGGAACTCCATAGCTCACACGCCGGCACTGCCAACGACACGTGTAGCTCACAAATCTCATA